TGCAAAAGTGTGGCAGTAATTTTTTAATTTTTGAATTTTTTCGCATAAAAATATAAAAGACGGTAAAAAATTTGTTTTATTTTATTTTAATTTAATTTTTATAATATGTATTTTTCGGTTTTTGCTTCGTTTAATTTAAAACCAAAACACAAAACACAATACCCGGAAAATGTTTGGCGCAAACACCGAAAATTTTTAAATAGAAAATTTGTTGTTGTATTTGTTGTGAAACTAGTGCGGGAGCAACAAATTATGTAGTATTATTAAATTTGTATTTCTTCAACTGTTTCTTCTGTTATTGCTTCTTCTTTGCGTTTTTGTGTAAATTATTCGTTTAAAGTGGTTGCTTTTGTTTTCGAAAAAAACACGTATTTCTCATATCAAATATCTGATTGCCTTATCGTTTTTTTGGACACTTTTGAGCATGCGCGCACATATTAACCAACAACTGCACGATCGGTTAGCCGCAGCGAATTGTTAACTCAGACGGCTTTGGCTTGACTTTTGTGCAAAATTTATTTTGGTCGCGATCTTCTTTCTAAACCGCACGAATTTCAAAACGAAACTGAAAGCGCTAACAAATTGAACACGCAACTTACAAGCAGCAAAATTTGTTTAGGCTTAACAAAGCCTTCCGAAAGAGAGCAACTTCGTTTACACTTAAACGAAACCGCTTCAGTTGTGCCAGAGAGACTCAGATACTCAGTTGAGATACTCAGTTTTGAAAAGTAACGCTGTCGGTATATTCGGTTAGTTAAGACTACTCTTGCCATAACTCTTGTCAAATAAGCTAACAGAAACAAATAGAAATCAAATAAATTGAAAGTCAAATAAAATGAAATTTTTTTGAAAACATAGAACAACAATAAAGAAACAACTAAAAGGATATTTCATGGATCATAAGGATCCAAGACTAAGAAAGATAGGCTCTACACTGTCTTTCATTAAAGAAATTGGACTTGGAGAAACACTCTAATGCGACTAGGGGGAACAATATATCTTTTAAGTGGCAGTGTACAATCCCCTCTTTTCAATAATAATAGAACATCAGTACTCATAAGGCATTCATCTTAGTGTGACTGCTACTACTAATACTTATGTAGAAGATAGTATAGGTGAGATAAAAATACTGCAGAAGTTAAAAGTGGATAAAAAAAATGATAGTAATCTGTTAAAAAAAATTCTGAATTCACAATTTATTTAATACACACTTGAAGTACTTCAAGTGATACACTTTTGTAGTACTAAAAAACCTCATCAAGATTATTTAAAAAAATAGTTAATCAATCTTCAAAAATATTTCCATTACAGAAGTAATTTTCTTTCTTGTTGATATACCCTTCAAACATTTGTAAATTATATTGCAAATAACTTATTACCTTAAAAAAATCAATGCACTTTACTATTTACACTATCACTAAAATGAATCTTTTACTTACATATAACTTCTATATTACAAGTACAGAAGATAACATTATTGTTGTTGTAAATTTGTCAAATTTTTGTACATGGTATAATCAGTTGCATTAATACTTACCATTTTTCTGTGCTCTTCAAGACAACCGTCTCTCAACTCAACTTAAATGTATACATTAGCCAGTGAAAACAAATTCTGCTACTCTGAAGTGAGCGGAAAAACAAGAAATTTCTCGCTTATGTCTCTAAAAACAGCACAAGACACTAGTCTAAAAACTAGACACCAGACACTAAAGACACTAGTTTATTGCTAGACTAGTTATAAAATCCCTAACTAATTAAGAGACTTTAGCTCTTAAGGATACTGAAGCAGTAAGCGATCTTTTGTGAGCGTAGTTTGAAAGTTTTACCGAAAACTCTACTCATCTGACAGAGTTGTTTGTAAACTAGAGAGGTAAATAGCGAGTAATCAAGAAACAGAATTGGAACCCGCGAATAAAAGTTTGTAGTATTTAATGTATATATTTTATATAGAAAACCTATATAAATGTTTTCGAGTTTTTTTTATTTTTTGGATTTTATTTTAAAAATAAAAATATGGCAAGCATTTAATTTTTAAGACTAATCTCACAACTTAACTAATATACATATAACTTAAAAAATATTTTTATATTAATTTATTATTAACTGTTGAGTTAAAAACATGGTTTAACCGTATTGTTCGCTTTTAATTTTATTTTATTATTTTTTAAATCAATACCCTGTATCTCGATTAATGTTTAAAATTGCATAATAAATACTGCGTAATTATATTTACAAAAAAAATACTTTTCTAAAAACTTCCAGATATATTCCAGAAATATACATTTGAATCACTGATAAGTATATCTCAATTTGTATCGACATTTAATATAATAAATATAATATTATAATTTATGTATTAGTTCTTAATCAAAAAAAATTACAATAAATTGTGCAAAAGTTTTCGTAACCATGAACTTAGGTATATCTAAATTATTCGTATGTAAACTATACTATATACTGTACTATATTTTTTGAAATTATATTACAAACTATTTACGAGGGAAATATTAGGATGACCTTTAAACCATTCAAATTAAAACATAATCCATTATCACATTGAAGTCGGAAACGTTATACTTAAATTTATATAACGATTTATAAAAATATCTTATATGTATATTTTTTACAATCATAGTTTTAATTAAAATAATTAGATATAATTATTATAAAAAAAAAACTATTTGTAGTTAGCAACTAATCAAATAAAATTACAATAAATTATGCAAAATTTTTCGTAATCATGAACTTAAATATATCTAAATTATTCATATGTAAACTATACTAGATCTAATATTATATTTTGAATTCTGAATATATTTTTTGTTACATATTATATACAAACAGATATAGCTAAATTGACACATCAACAATCAAGAATAAAAATTATGTTATATCCGTATATCTACTTTATGGAGTTCCTGATATTTCTTCATATATATATATAAAATATATAAAAAAATAAATATATGTGTATAATATATTTTTTGAATTTATATTACAAACTATTTACGAGGTAAATATTAGGATGACCTTTAACCTATTCAAATTAAAACATAATCCATTATCACATTAAAGTCGGAAACGTTATACTTAAATTTATATAACGATTTATAAAAATATCTTATGTGTATATTTTTTACAATCATAGTTCTAATTAAAATAATTAGATATAATTATTATAAAAAAAAAACTATTTGTAGTTAGCAACTAATCAAATAAAATTACAATAAATTATGCAAAATTTTTCGTAATCATGAACTTAAATATATCTAAATTATTCATATGTAAACTATACTAGATCTAATATTATATTTTGAATTCTGAATATATTTTTTGTTACATATTATATACAAACAGATATAGCTAAATTGACACATCAACAATCAAGAATAAACATTATGTTATATGCGTATACTTTATGGAGTTCCTGATATTTCTTAATATATATATATAAAATATATAAAAAAATAAATATATGTGTATAAAATATTTTTTGAATTTATATTACAAACTATTTACGAGAGAAATATTAGGATGACCTTTAACCCATTCAAATTAAAAAATAATCAATTATCACATTGAAGTCGGAAACGTTATACTTAAATTTATATAACGATTTATAAAAATAGCTTATATGTATATTTTTTACAATCATAGTTTTAATTAAAATAATTAGATATAATTATTATAAAAAAAATGTATTTGTAGTTAGCCTTGACTGAAATAATCTTACAATAGGAATTGATTTCAATAGCTAATTTTGATATTTAATAACCTGGAGTTTAATTTATTAATAATATTTAAATTCAATAATAATATTTAAATTCAATAATAAAATTTAATAAACGTTTAAGTAATTATTAATTTATATATTCTTTAAACCAAGTAGGTATACTAATCTAGTTAGCGTATAGCGCCAAAAAATAGTTTGCTGCTTGTAGGAAATGCAATAGTAGCTCCAAGCTCTTTTCTATGGATTTTACCGTCGATCTAAGCCACTGAGGTTGAGTACGAATTGTTTTCTTAGTAAAATTGTAAAACAAAATCAAAACAGAAAACCAAAGAGAAAATATTTCGAATAGGTTTTGGCAAATGAAAATTCGGAAACGCAGCTGTCCATCACGACAGTTCACGAGGTTCTCAAAGCAAATCAATCAAATTGATTTTAATGCGTCAAAAAATATTCAAACCCATGAATTCTTTTAGTGAACATGAGACCTACAGGGATTGAATAACTAGTACAACGTGTAAATAAAAAAAATAGTTTAATGTAAATAAAATGTAAATAATTTCAATGTTTTGTTTTTTAGTGGAAGTCAAAAGGCCATATTTACGCTATATTTCAGATTATAGAGTATGGAATAGCAAAAACACAAAAATAAATTTATTTATTCATATTACTATTTATGTGTATAATTTTATATAATCAAAATTAATTAAACACAAATTAATTAAGAATATATTAATGTTATGTGATAGAAACGGGGTGTATGTATGTATAATGTAAAGATCTACATATAATTATTGCAGATCGCCATTAAGTAAATGTCGAAAGTGAAAAAATATTTACAAACAATAAAAATAAATGTAATAAAAATATAATAAATTAAAAAATAAATACATATCATAATTAAAATATGTAATATATTTTAAAACGCTTTTTATATATTATTATATGAAATAAATTCTTTTTGAAAGGTGAATAATTTTGTTTATATATATAATATATTCTTAAACCAGCTATTCTATTGTAAAATTACTAAAGTATATATAAATTATTTAAAATATCTGTTTTAAGATACATTAAAAGTTCATTGAGCTGAGCTTTGCTTCAACATTTAAAGTTAAAAGACTTGAAAATACTCAGTCGCTCTCAGTTTTGATATAAAAGAGTGAAAAGTTGGTAGGAAATCTCTGATCAATCTGTAAACAGCAAATCAAGTTTATCAGTAAACAATAAAAAAATTTTGTAATTTTATTCAATAATTTTGTTTTTGCAGATACAAAAATCCCAATTCATGGCACAGTGTAAAGACGCAGATGTTTTATAGTAATTTTATGCCGTCAACCAAAGATACTCGTAGTTCAGCCACTTAAATTTCGTCTCTTATGTTAACATTGACATGAATTTAACTTTATTTCCTGATTAATAATTATATAAAAATAATTTAAGTATTTGAGTTATTAATATTGTTTGTTTCTTAGTAAAAATAATAATACTAATTAATATTAAATATAATTAATATATATATAAAAGAACAAATCTTAGCTGATAAGACCTCCTGATGGTTAGAACAAAATTTATATCAACAATTTCAAACAAATTCCATACAACACTAATAAAAATTTAATTATACTTACTCTGGAAAGTATATTATTATTATTAGCATTTCAGTAAATGCATTAGTCTCCATTTCGTCTAGAGTAATGCAAGAATGTAGGCAAGGTATTAACATTAGCGGCAGGTCAAAGATAACAATAGTTCCGGTACCGGGCGTTTTAATATAGTAAGAAATGAGCGCGCAGATGAGCTAGCTAGACTGGGCTCCACTTCTATAGAAACTCCTGTTCCAATTACAACCCCTGTCATATACAACCAAAGACTGATTTATGACTATAATAGTTATCAGGCAAATAATGAATGACCTCTTACTTCTTTAGCAGCATAAGCAAAGCGTACATGGCCAATGTTTAACCTCTGACTTGATATACAAAAGCAAATCAGATGTGAATAGGTTAATATCTATTTTAACAGCCTACCATGTAATATCACCTGCAGTACATATCTATCGGCACTCGAGAATAAAACACTAAAACAACTGTTGTGTATATTTTTAGGTTTGTCCAGAACCAGGTCTATATTTTTGTGTGCACTTTTCCTTATACACTCGGCGATATTTCCACCATTAACATTGGCTTGACATTCGTATTTACCTATGCTTTTGGCTGCTTCTTACATGACCATTCTTCTTCATGGCCACACGTACACACCCATGGGTGGTCTATAGCTGCAACTCGTTTGCTTAAATCAACTTTTTCTTGTTCATCTTACATAAAGGCTTAAACTTCTATTACATGTCAGTAAGTAGAGCAATGTTGAAGGAATCGACTTGGATTAGACAATTTAAAAGTTTTTTTAATGTTTCAGTTCTCATTAATTAAGAAATAAGGTTGGATGCTTCATTATTAGTCGGATATACAATTGAACACTTGTAATTTAAGAGCCGCATAATTTTAGAAAATTTTTTGAATGTTTTATAATAAATCGGAAACATGAAACGCTAGTATTTTAGTTAATTTCTAGATTAGAGTTGTTGTGTAGAGAAAATAATATACCTAAATCTGATTCTAAGTAAACTCTTATTGGAGTATAACAAATACTTAGCTATAGTTTCTTCAGAAATCAGTGACCATGTACTGCAGAAGTTATGATAAGTTAGACCCAGTTCAAGTTCGATTAAGTTATTGTGGCAGTCAATTTAGTTGACCGACTTAAATCCTACGTATCTATTATGATCTTAAGTGCTCTTATATATAAAATCATTCAAAATCCTATTCAGGCACAAAATATGTATAATGTCAGCGCTGAACATTTTTTGCCTGTCCACACATAACCTCTACAATAAGCATGGGAAAGTACTGCTATCACATAAGTCTGCCTACTAAATACTCAGTGACCGATCATAAAAACCGCGTCCTTAGATACCTTCTCAGCAGAAGAAATCAAGATAAGGCAATTATGTTACATATTATCTTTTATCTTACTTTTTGCTGGGTAATTAATCTTATTTAAAAAAATACTTTCACAGGTTTTGTATAGTATTGATTGCCTTTTAAAGAATTTCTTTAATTTTTAATTTTTTGTTGCTAAAATGAAGTATGCTTTTATAATAATTATAATAATAAAGATTTTTATCATCAGATATATGTCACAATAATTTTTCTTGACTAGTTGTAAATCTCACTTACACATATTTCTGTCTTCTCTTTTATTACTTATGTGGAAATAAAAGTAGTAATAAAAATCTTAAAAAAAATATTTTCTGGCTTGAGCTGAAATATATTTTTCTAATTAATACAAGTACATACTATATACTCGTAATAATAGTAGTAAATGATTTATATGTTTGTCTTTGTGGAACATTAAAAGTGAAATTCATAATTCACGATTTAGTAGTTTTCGAACTTAAATTTAGTCAGTCAGTCTCTATGTTAACTCACTTTGATAACTTTGATTATAGGAGTATATCATTACCAGTGTCAGTGACACTATATACTATGAGTGCAACTATCTGGCAGAAAATATTCGTAAAATTTATGAGTAAGAAAATTGAACGAATGCAGATAATAAATTACTCGTACTTTAATGACTATAGCGGACTTAGTTCAGTGTGACATTTTCTACGTGGAAAAACTCAAGCAATGTGGTTCACAAATTTGATCTTATAAAAATCAAAGAAAAATTTCAATAGAAATTGTTATATTTATATATTATGCAATCGTTTTTTATATGTTTCAAAAAACAAAAAACAAAACAAAAAGATTTGATCTATTTATAGTGCCAAATGAGCTAATAAGTGAAAGTCTGACAAAAGAATTAATTTCATTAACGGCTAACAGCATTCATTGCAGACTTTGTTTGGTTCAACTTCAAAATCGACATATGAATGAAACCAAAACTGATTTCCATTTATTTTATGGAAATTAAATTATAAATCAATTGTTAAATATCAAATTATTTATGCACAATTATTATTCACACTGCACACTATGCCGCACTGTGCCGCATTATGAGAAAACGCATTCGATAAGCACTACTCCAAGTTTTTTTTTAATGGAGTACAATCGATATTTGGAGGACTGGAAATAGACATATACACAGTTACTCATATATAGTATGGTAACCATATGATGTATGACCCGGCCTATAACAGATACTTTACATTAAGCGTCAGAGTGAATTATACAATTTCACGCAACGCAACAAGATACTTCATTGAGTAGATAACATCAACTTCTCTTACTCTAATTCGCATTTAACGAGTCAATGGACCATGCTACCATTGACCATTTCCACGCTCCAGCGGCAAATAAAATATGACAAAACCGAAAGTGGCCATAAAAAGCATTTACCACATATGCCATTCAATACTCCAGTCGAGCCAGAAAGTAGCAGAAGTCGAAGCCGAAGCAGAAGAAATGTTGTAATAGAAGCACAATAATAAAAAAAATAAGTAAAAATAAGAAAGTTTAACTTGAAAACACGGCAAATGAACGCAAATGAGACATACGAAATTCGAAGTCGAAGTCGAAATTGAAGTCACATATTTGTCAGTCTTTTCTTCGGTGCGGCGGATTGTTTGCATAGCCAATGTCTACGTAATTGCAAATGACAAATTAATTTTGGCTTAAAAGTCACGGATGTATTTGGCTGTATTTCTGTCTTTATGGTCAATATGTATTCAAAGTCGGAAATCGATTTTACAGCAAGAGAAAACTAGCCAGAGAGGAAATTCGTATTTAAAAGCTTTTAGCTACGACTTTATTCGACAACGGTCATATCGGCAATGTAACAAGTAGCGATACACTATATCACATTCCGATATAATAATATGTATACAACATTAAGAAAAAATCATACATTTTCTTCAAATGCTTGTAAATATTAGTCAAAGACTAATATTGTGTCAGGTATTCTAATTGGCACCAATGGTGATATATAGTAAGCATGTGACGGGTCTCTTTTCGAAGCCCTTGTTGTGATCAAATCAACAAAGACTACATATTTCGAAATTCAAGTTCTAAGTAACCAAAAATATAATAATCATAATCTTAAACATCATTACTAAAGTTTTTAAATTAAAACAAGTTTAGTTAAAGTTCAAAGCTGAATTCACAAACACAGTCATAACTTAAGTTTCAGTACTAACCTGAATTATTCTGAAGTCATTAGATATGCTAAGTAAATTCGTATTTTTTAAGACTTACAATTGTGCAACTGACTGAGACTCTGGGACACCCAGTTATCAAAGAGTAATAGTGCCCAGATGCGCTAACTCAGAAAAGACTCAACATTAGACGTCGTTATGTATTACCTATTTATAAATATTTATTTTAAAGTTGAAATACAAAAAAAAAATAGTAAGAAAAACGTGCTAGCTAACTGCACTAAAAATAACAAATAAAAAAAACTCATGCATTTATACTTTTAATAATATTTAGGAAGATTTAATTTATTTATGGTAATTTACCACTCATTCATGCAATTAGCTTACTTATAGATAGCAAATTAATACATTAAAAAATAAAAAACTAATACTAAAAGATTAAATTGCCAAAGTTTCAACTGAAATCACTGAAAAAAGTGATGTTATAACAAAATAAAATAACACGAGACACAAATATTAATTAACAGACCTAAAAAACGAAAATATTAAAAAGAGAAATAAAAATCAAAAATGAAAAAGTGCTAACTAACAGCAACAGAAAAACAAAAGAAGGATCTTCAAAACAAATTCTGTTAAAAATCTTTCAATAAACATTTACAACATTAAAACACGTATTACTTTCTTATAAATTTTGAAATTTTTAAATTCAAAACAAAAATAAGTCACAATATCTTGAAATTCGTTTCAGTTCCCGAAATGCAAGATAACTTTTCAAACCCTTAAATGCTCTCCAGATCGAGAGCACCAGGACGAAGCACCTGTTAAGTCGCTTAAGACTATTTAAATGGATGGATATTAATCGAGTAACAAACGCACACAATCTTTTAAACTTAAAAGATTTGATAAATCTAATTATACCGAAAAGGATTCTGACACCTTTCTGAGAATTTAAAATATTGATTGCAAAATAAAATGTATTAAGCTGGTGAAAGATCGAAGAATAAGAATAATATATGTTAGTATATCAGATAAAAGTACTAAATGTTAATAAATCTCAAGTGGACAGTCAATTCGTTAGAGATTTGAAAGTACTGTAGAAATGTTAGGTTTTAAAATCAACTTTCAAAGTATTCAATTGCATGACATTAACAAACGCATAGAGTGGACACAGATTTTGTTTTAAAAATGATTAACTTTCTTAGTCGTGCC